ATTTATATTCAACCCCTGGATGAAACCTCCTGCATATTGTTCATGTTCCATAAAGGCACAAAATGTGAAAACTCGTACTGGCCCATAATGACTGATTTTCATTGGTGTAGTTTATGATGGTTCCAGGAGTGTTCTATATGGCTTTATGAGGAAGCACCTCCAGGGCAAGGAGTGTGGGCTTGGTATCTGCGTGTCTCTTGGGTCTGTTTGTTACCTTCCCATTTTCATGCATTTCTAATACTTCTCATCTCTTCTCAAGAACTGATAAAGACAGCATGATGCTATTTTATATTTTAAAAATACCGTGAGGCCTACAATCTATTTTGAGCAGATATCACATTTTTGTGTATAAAAAGTTCCTCAGCTGAAGAAGGCTGAGATAGCAGGGTCACAAGGTCAAGACCAGCCTGGGCAACAGAGCAAGATCCCTTTTCAAAAAGAAGGAAATTAATTAGCAAATCTATTATGCCAACTTCCATACTTAGGAGTCTTTCACATCATAGACCCATACAGCAATGTCCTGTGTGGCTTCTTTTGGGCAATCCTGCAGTGAATGCTAATGGTTGGGACAGCCATGGCCATTTTGCCTGGGACATGCCACTTGCTCTTTATTACCTACCAGACTGCTGGGATTTCAGAAATTATTTTCACTGTCACATTCGAGATGTTTTGTAAATTGTTTAAATCTAGCATTCAAGAAGAAAACTCCATGTATCTACATTCATCTGAAAATGGATCAGAGAAAAAGGAGCTGCTGACTGAGAGATTAAATAGGTAACATGCATATTTGGCAGTTATAAAAGATGGTGTGGGGGCCCTGGAGACACGGCTCAGCAGTTAAGAGCACTGGCTGCTCTTCCAAAGGACCTGGGTTTGAATCCCAGCACCCACATAGTGGCTCACAGTGGAGTCTGTAACTCCAGTCCCACAGGATCCAATGTTCTTTTCTGGCCTCTGAGAGCACTGTATGCTCAAATATACCTGCCGACAAAACATCAATAAAAATAAAAATAAAGGAAAAATTCGAGATGGTGTGTAGATTGACCGGTGTTTTCAGTGGTGCCCAAGCACTTTTTAAAGGATTGTGTGGTTCATCTCGTGCGTGTTCTACAAATAAAAACCTTATAGGAAGCATCAGAGGTTCAGTTCAGAGGTGGGCTGCCTGGAGATGTTAAAGGATTGGCCACCATGTTCCTTCCCACGAGTGTAGTCATGATGGAAGACTCCTCCTGTTTTTAAACTCAGATGCCCTTTCCTGTATATACCTTCTTATCCTGCCACAGAGGAGGTGAATTTGATGGCAGATACATGTAACCCCCAGTCAGAAAGGCAGCAAGGGAGGTCAGCCCCACACAGCTACTTGCGGTGAGGAGAGAACTCCAGCCTCTAGCTTCTTCTTTGTTCTGCACAGCAATGTACTGACCCAGAAGCCAGGAGCCCACCAGGCAAGTGCTCATCAGAGAAGCAGCCGCTCCTGGGAGTCTGAGAGTGAAGAGCCCACACCCAGGAGTGTGGGTCAAAAGGAAAAGCTCATCATTAAAAACTGAACAAGCTGGGCGTGCTGGTATAGGCCTGTAATCCCAGCATGCCGGAGGCAGAGGCAAGGGGATCTCTGTGGGTCCAAGGCCAGCCTGGTCTACCGAATGAGTTCCAGGACAGCCAGAGCTACATAGTGAGACCCAGTCTCGAGTAGTGGAAAAAAAGGACAGTTGGAATGGTCTTATTTTTCAAACAATGCTGACTACTAATTGGAGGATGTCTTAAGCCAATAGCAATAGGTTGCATATGTCAGCAGTGAGCAACCGCCCCCCGGACTTCATTCTGTGTTGGGTGTGTTTTTGGTCTTTGGTCTTGGTTAATGTGACTGAGATACTGCCATTGCTTTAAACATGCTGCAGTTCACCACACTGTTTCAGGGGCGATACTGACAATTTCACATGGTTTCTCAGACCCTAGGAGAGCCTCTTTTTAGAGTTCCTACATATTAAGAAGAAATTTAAGGTGACTGAAATTAGGAAATCTCAAGAAATTTCTACAAAGGTTTAAAGTTGCTGAAGTTTGAGATACTTAAGAAGAAAAATCTCAGCACATGCAGGGAGTCATGGGCTTTAGAATGGTCATTTCATTGGGAAGGAAAACTGTGAAAATGATACCCAGACTAGTGATTAATAGTCTGTGCATGCTTTGAGTTGGTAATTTGTCCTCATGTTGGATACATTCACTTCTGTCTTTTTAAAACTGGAGTTCAGCCGGGCGGTGGTGGCGCACGCCTTTAATCCCAGCACTCGGGAGGCAGAGCCAGGCGGATCTCTGTGAGTTTGAGGCCAGCCTGGGCTACCAAGTGAGTTCCAGGAAAAGGCGCAAAGCTCCACAGAGAAACCCTGTCTCGAAAAACCAAAAAAAAAAAAAAACCAAAAACCTGGAGTTCTTTTCAGACATGCAGAGAATCCAGGACTCTCTTCTTTGGCCAGTCTTCCTCTACATCAAATGCAACTGCCAGCTCTTTTGTTTTTGTTTTGGAGACCGGGTTTCTCTGTAGCCCTGGCTGTCCTGGGACTCACTCTGTAGACCAGGCCAGCCTCGATCATGGAAACCCGCCTGCCTCTGCCTCCCGAGTGCCGAGACAAAGTCGTGCACCACCATGCGGGCTGCAGTTGCTAGTTCTGACTGTGTGATGTTTTGTTTTGTTTTTCAACAATGGAACTCAGTAGAAAAAGACAGGAGAATAATAAGGTTAAGAATTTATGGCTTGAGAGCCTAAGAGGTGGTTCAGTGGCCAGAGGTGCTTGCAGCCAAGTCTGAAGACCTGAGTTCCATCTCTAAGACTCACAAGTGGAAGAAGGGAACTAACTCTTCAAAGTTGTCCTCTGACCTACAGTACACACACACACACACACACACACACACACACACAAAACTATAAATAAAGAGAAAATCCCTAGAATTTATCGTGTGGAAGTTGCTCTCAGGGACCACTGACATAACATACACGAATTAGGCTCCACTTGTGTGAGAATTGAGGGGCAAGACTGTCTTCTCAAGGCCCTTAAGGCCGACTGAGGAACGGATGAACTGTGAGGGTGGTTTGCGTACGTTTCTTCATGGGAACAGATGGGAGTCTGTACTCTTTAAATTCTGCCCATGTCGGTGGTGGCAAATGCCTTTAATCCCAGCACTTGGGAGACAGATACAGGCTGATCTTTGTGAGTTCAAGGCCAGCCTGGTGTACAAAGTGAGTTCCAGGACAGCAGGACTGTTACACAGAGACACCATCTCAAAACAAGACAAAATCCTGCCCACATTTCTTCTAAGCTAATTAGTCACAAAATACAGTTACTACTGTTGTGTTTCTCAGGAGTAAGTAAACAGACTGGTCATCTCACGATGGTAAACCAATAAGGATTTGCTGTCTGTGACTCGGACCTGGCCAAGGAAGGGGCCAGCAGACTGCAGAACGTGTTTGTTCCAAGGTGGTAGGAGCCGGGCTCAGACTCACTACAATGCAAACTGTTGCCTGGGCTGAGCTCCGCACCGTGACAAGGACAAGGTGATGCCAGCAGAGGCTCAGTGGAGAATTAACGTGAAGAAATGCAGGGCTCCCGGATACTACCTGCCCCCACAGAGAGCACCACGGGTACCCTGCACGGGGTCCGCTACAATTGAAGCTGCACCTGATGTGAAGCCAGGCCGTCAGAGGTGATGACATTAGACATCACTCTGTGCTGCACGTTCTAAGGTATGACGACCCGTGATCTACCACTGCATTATCAGAGCTGTTTCACTGCCCTAAAAACCCCGAACCTTGCTCCTCTGCACCTCCCAACCCCAGTTCCTAGAAACCGCACCCTTGTCTGTTGCCGCCTTAGCAGGATGTTAGACTTGCCATCCTACAGTGTGGCTTTCTCACACTGGCTTTTTTTTAACCCAATGACAGGAATGTCAGGGCCCTTCCTGTCATCACGGGGCGGCAGCACCTTTCTTTAGTATTGAGTTTCTCTCAGGATGCACCAGCCACCCACTGAAGGAGTGTGGGGTTGCTCCCAAACATTGTCAATTGTGGACGAAGCTGCTCTATTAAGGAGCAGCGTTTCGTGTAGGCATAAATTTTCCACATCTGATGACATACCAAAGCTAAGAATGTGTGTTCTAAGAAATTGCCAAATGGTTTTCAGAGTAGCTGTGCCATTTTGCATTCCTATTGGCAACAGGTCAGAGTCTCTGTGGCTCCGCACCCTTGTCCGTACTTGGCACTGTTGGGATTGTGACTGTTCTGGTAAGTGTGGCATGTAGATTCTCAATGTGATGATGAACACCTTCATATGCCTTCATGACATGTCTGCGTCCCTGGCCAGGGCTTCGTTAGGCTTCATTTCCTTACTCGTGAGTTTTAACAATTGTTTGTTTTAGATAAAAGTCCTTTATCAGCTCCGTCTATTATAGACAATTTTTCCCAACTACTTTTTATGCATTTTAACTTGTTTCAACTGTTTCCTTTTTCTGCATTTATTTTTTTCTAATTTTAAAGCTGTGTTCCATTAATTCAGATTCTCATATATAACAAGATATTTAAACTTACAATCTTACAAAGTCTAGCTTCACCCTTTATATTTTAGCATGAATTTTTCTCCTTGTTATTAACTGCTCAATTGTAATTTTGCTTTTTACTTTTCTTTGACCCAAGACATGATTGAGACTAAGTATGAACAGAGAAGACAAGTTTTTGGAGAGGATTGGGAGTCTGGGTTTGTTTTTCTAGACAAGGTCTCACTCTAGCTCAGAGTGGCCCAGAACTAGCTGGGCCTCCTGCCTCAACCTCCCAAGTGGTGGACACGCACTTTTTAAAGTTTCCTGTTTGTGGCCATGTGCACGTTTTGTTTTGAGACAAGGTCTCACTACATAGCCCTGGCTGGCCTGGAACTTGCTATGTATATCAGGTTGGCTTTGAACTCAGAGATCTCCTTGCCTCCTGAGTGCTGGTATTAAAGGTATGTGCCATCATGTGCAGCCCAAGATATATTTTTTAATGATTTCACCAACATATTTTTAGTTGTGGGTTTGTTTACCCCAAATGTATCCATAAATTATTAACATTATTCTAGAACTCTATGTATGATAAAATACCACATTATATTCCATGCCATTACATTACGGGCACTAAGTGACGTAAACTCGAGCTGAAGCTCTAGACCTCGTCAACACTGCTTGAGTCCCTGCAGCCTGACCACATCTGCTCATTACACTGACAGCCATTTTAAGGGCAATTTAGCTGAGAATGTGATTCCTCCCTTCCTTCCTGTTTCTAACGTGTGGTAGGAGGGTTACTTGGTTTTTAGGGGGTTCTGTTTGCATTTTAAAGCACAGTATTTTCATTCTCTCCCTGTTTGCCTTCATTCAGTCACTAAAGGCACGCGGGCCTGCGACGATGCTGCCAGCGCCTGTCCTGCAGCGAATAGCTTGCTTCTAGTTCCATTTTATTTTCCTTCTGCAGCTACTGCGCCTCTGTCCACATCAAGCCATGCCTGTGCTCGTGGGCTCTTCATTCGCCCAGTCCTTAATGTGCTGCTGCTTTTGTACTATGTCATTGTGCTCGTTCGGTTTTTTCAATCACTTCCTTGTTCGGGTTGTGCTGCTTTTAGAAGTGTGTCTTGGCCAGTGCTGCCCTTGTGTTGTCCGTTGTCCTGCTCCAGCACGAGAAAGGACATCATTTCTTCCCCCTTGGTCTGGTATATGACAAACCTCATCCACACCTTTGTGATAAATGGTATTTCCACCACGCGAACAGAACAGAAATGCTGTCTACTCAGAAAAACAGCCACAGTAATGACTAACACATCGGATAGCTCTTTTCAGATCCCAGTTTTAAAGCAGAACTGTATCTACCTTCACTGCTATGACAAACACCTGGGCAGCGAGTGACTCGTGGTTTCAGCCACTGGTCGCTGGTCCCATTGAGTGAGACAGGGCATCGTGACAGAATGGTAGGGTCAGCAGAACTGCTCACCTCATGCCAGGGAAGAAGCCGAGAGTTGGGAAAGGACCAAGGCAAGATGGAACCATTATGCTAAGAGCAACAAGGTGAAGCCAGCATCTTTAGGAATGGCGTTGGGTGAATCCAGAGATGGAAAGTACGTTGGTGTTCCAGGGGGTTAGGACAGTACTGGAAACTGACTGCTGCTCAGTGAGCGATAAAACAGTCTGAAAATGACAGTGGTGATAGTTGGTAACTCTGAACGTACTAAAAACCAGTAAGATGTATACTTTAAAGGTTAACACTTGGAGCTGGGGGTGTAGCTTCCTGGCAGAGTATTTGGCTAGCATGCACAAGGTCTTGGGTTTGATCCCTAGTACTACACCAAAAAAAAAAAAAGGAAATGGATTTCATGTCAATAATGCTATTACTCAAACACAAAAAGCCCACCAGCATGACTTCCTACTCCCCCATGCCAGAAGTGCCTCTAAAGGGAACACAAAGGAAAGTTGAGAGTCCTGATACCACTTGGTTAGTGGATCTGGCAGCTTCAAATAGTTTTTTTCATATGCTGATCCTTACATTTTCCTTATCCAGAGCACATTACTGCATGACTAGTTAAAATATCCTAGAAAGAATATTTAGAAAAAAGACTGTTCTCAGCAATATGAAAAAACAGAAGCATACGAGACTGCCCGTGCATACAACTGGGCGTGTGAGAACCAGTGAGAACGTGTCAAATACGTAACTGACAAACAGTTAAAAACTGGCACTAGACCATTATGCACATGGCACCCAGGACAAACATGGCCTCTGTAAGTTCTAGTTTGTTCTCTCCAGATGGCATTTTCATGGTATTTGGAGTTGCCTGCCAGGGCTCTTGGATGAGCTACGACAGTCTCAGGTGGACAGGCGCTCTGGCCACAGCAGCTCTGGCCACAGCAGCTCTGTCCCTTAGCCCTGAGCCTGGCACCACGGAGTTTCTTTTAGACCAGAGCAACTCCATTTAACCCTTCCTCTGTGACGGCCAGGTCTGTGTGGGCACTTCCCAGTGCTGGTGTGAAGAGCTGCCTTCTGTCTGCACCACACTGCAGAACAGGCCGCCACTGTGGCTGCACATCTGCATAGAGCTTAACAAGAGGAGAAAGCCATGTTTCTTGCTCTGTATTCACACAAAGGCAGCTGTCAGTTTCCAAGGTCTCTGGCTAAAGTTTCACAGATGAACTGTAGAGTACGTTGATATAAAAAAGCATCCTTTGTCTTCGGCTTGCAGATGTCCAAATGGTTAACATCCACAGGAATTAGATCCCCAATGCCTAAATCTGAAGAAACCACAAGTGTCAGTCAAGCAAAGGGATGCCAAGCTCGCCGAGCGGAACTCTGACTCACGTGAAAATGGACGCCCAGTGCGTGTGAGTCTGAGTTTCTACTTTCCCGACTTCCATGTGGGTTCCAAGCCCTGCGCACTGCACTGTGGTCTTCCCTGTGCCTGCAGGCTAATACGAATCATTCTGCTGCTCTCCTAAGAGTGGGATGCCCACGTGGAACCTATTCTAGGCCCACATCCCCATGATCATTCTCGGGAGGGGGACGATGACAGGATTGAGTACTTCAGTATTTGACTGCTTGAGGGACCAGAAAGGGATCTGTTATTTCAGTCTGGCAAGTCCACCTGGATGCAGGTAACAAGAGATGCCAGTGCGTCACCACTGAGTGGAGGGAGGAAGGTAATAAAGGGGACAGACAGCATTACGGGGACAATGCTATGGTGCTGCAGGCAGCTGCTCAGGAGACTGGCTCTGCTGCTGCATTAAGTTTCCAAGATGGCTTCAGCCATCTGGCAGCCATTCTTGGAAATCTTCACATCGCTGCTGTGCAATGCCCCAGCCGAGGACCTGGGGTTCTGCTATAGAGCTTCTCTGGAATCTGTGGGGTATTTTCCATTTCGTGTGGTAGATACTGAGGTAAGGACAAAGCTCATCATGCACACTAAGAATCATCACTAAGGCAAGCACACGGTGTGTGGGTACAAAGAGCCACCAGGACAGGACCTGAGCCAGCCTCAGAAAGGAGTTCCAAGAGATGACCCTCAAGCTGAGGAGACGTGGTCAGTCAAGGGAGGCACTTCAGATAGATGTGTGGTGGCTACAGTACAAATCGGGACACTCTAAGGAGAGCGTGGTTGTCGAGTCTACACTATAGTGGCCGGTACTCAGTACTCCCACCTACCCTCTCCTCATATCTTAACACTAGTTTTTTCTTTTCAATTATTTCCTGCTTGAATATTCTCCATACATCTTCCATTTACCAAATCTTCCAAACTTTTGTATCCTACATTTACTACAGGTTTAAGGTTTTTCTGCAGCTATCAATTGTTAAGTACATGCCCCTTTTATTCTAGCTTACAGAAGTGCTTGGTAGTCTCCTTACCGAAGTGTTGGTGTCTCAGAGCTAGCCAGGCAGCTGTTATCTAATCTATACTGGCTAAAGCCAAGGCTGTACGCTTGCAGAGGGATTGGAATCTGTTGCTAAAAAGTATAATGGACTTAGACCCTGGATTTTTATTAACCTTTCTCCCATATATCCCCAAAACACTGGATATAAAAACTGACATCTATTAAATGCTGGGTCCCATCACCGAGGCACCAGTGGCCACCCTGCCTCAAGACTGAGTACCTGCAGACTCCACGGGCACTATGTGCAGTTTAATCATGCTGCCGATAAACGTTGGTTGTGTTTCTACGAAACTCAGCACCTGGAAGTTCTTGTCTTTCGCAAACTCCACAAAGTCATCCTGTAGTGTCTTCAGTGCAGGAGAATCTAGGAAAGCAGAGTGAGATTATGGCAATCTGATTACTCATTCAGGATGGAGGCATTCGTCTTTAACTCAGAGAGGAAGGACATTAAAACTGATTCACAATGGACTCAGGCAGGAAAGGTGCTCACTCAATAGGTAAGTGTTTGCCTGAGGTGATGGCTGTTCTTGGTTGTCAACTTGACTACACCTGGAATTAACTAAAAACCCAAACTGCTGCGCATATCTGTGAGAGATTTTAGTTAACTGGATCATTTGAGGTAGGAAGATCTACCTTGAGGCCCTGTGTTTAACCTGGGCCACACCATCTAGTGGTAGCCTAAAGGACGAGGAGGAAGGAAGCCCTTGCTCCACTAGCGTTAGAGCATGTCTTCAGGATTCTGACATCTACTTAAGACCAGCTGAGACATCCAGCCTTGTGGACTGAACATAGCTACTGCATTCTCGAACTTTCCATCAGGAGTCAGTCATTGTTGGACTGCATAGCCTGTAAGCCATTCTAATAAATCCCGTGTGTGTGTGTGTGTGTGTGTGTGTGTGTGTGTGTGTGTGTGTGTGTGTGTGTGTGTTTTCAATCCACCAGTTCTGTTCCTCTACAGAACCCTGATTAATTCACATGAGGACCTGTCTGGATCGTAGAACCTGTGTAGAAAGCCAGATGTGGCTACACGATCCTAGCTCTGGAGGGGTGGGGGAAAGATAGGAAGCTGTGGGGTTTACTAGCTAGTCTGTCTGGCCAATCAGTGAGCTCCAGGGTCAGTGTGAGAGACTGATGACAACTGACCATGACCAGTCGCCTAAACACAGAGAAATACATAGACAAAACAAAACAACAACGGCCATCAGAAGTCTGATTAATACTACTACTGTGAAACACAGGAACTTTACAGAGCACTCCAGTATCTTCAGAATGATTTGAGAAGGTAAGAGTCACAATACAAGACATGAGTAAACAATAACCACCAAACAAGGAAAAAAAACAATGCTTGGTCTGTAAGAACACAGAGCCAAGATGGCTGAAAAGAGGCATCCTGTGAGAGCTTGGCCACAGAGAAGCTCTGAAACCTGCAAAGGGTCACCTGGCCCCACAGCTCTGCACATCTGGTTACCTATGGCATCTAGGAAAGATGTCTTTTGGGTCTCTACCCTCAAGTCTACATTCAGTGGACTCCAGCGTCAGCTCTGCTCATTCCGCAGGGCCTTCAGAATACTGGAAGGGATGGGTACTACCCTAAACGCACAGGCATCAGCCAAGGGACACATCAGGAAGAGAAGTGTAACACCATGAAGGAAAGCATTAATTCTCTAGATACAGAATCAAAGGCAATGGAAGAAATGGCTACAAAGGAATTAAAAACGTGGAGCCTAAGGAAACTTAATGAGATGAGAATAAACAACATGGCCGGGAAGATGGTCAGGAGGGGGATCGCATGCTGCTCCTGGTCCCCAGCGCCCACGTCCTCTAACTCCAGCTCCAAGGGACCCAGTGCCTCTGGCTTCTCAGGGCACTTGTACTCAAATGCGTGAGGCAACCTGTGTATACACAGGCATACACACAATTTAAAAGGAAAACTAAACAACACAAAACCAATTCAGACTATGAGTGAGAAATAGACTGATAGCAGAAATCATTAAAAAGAACCAATCAGAACTTTAAAATTATAAAAGAGTTTCTGTAATGGATTAGAATAAGAGGGAAAAAAAAAAGAACCTCTGACCTTAAGGACAGGTTTGATTTTTAAACTCAGTCTACAAGTGAGGGAGGGAAAGGAAAGAGAAAAGGAAGAAATAAAATGAAGGAAGGTGAAGAAAATGTGAAAGTCAATAAAAAGCGGACTCATAAAATACGAGCCAAACATTCAGAGGTACAGACATCTGTGTACAACAGCTCAGAGGACCCCCAGAGACACAATTTTTAAAAATGTCAAACAGCGAGAATGGAATGACCTGCAAAATACTGAAAGAGACTGCCAACCAGGAATACTACAACCAGCAAAATTATCCTTCAGACATGGAATAGTGAAGCCTTTCCCAGCTAAGGAGATGCTGAGGAGACTCCGCAGCAGCAGACTGAAGTAGGAGGAAAAGACAGCCATCGTCAAAGCACACAGTGATACACACATTCACCACAAGACCCGGAATACAGTTAACAAAATAGCAAGAGAACTTCACAATAACCCTACCGATGGATGGTTTATAGTCTCCACCCAATCACCAGAGACCTTGTGATGTGCTGTCTACAAGAAATGCATGTCACTCATCTGTAGGGATAGCTGTACTCTAATCAGAAAAATCAGGTTTGAAGTTAGGAACAGTCAAAAGAGGCAAGGCTATATACAGACAGGATCAGTTCAGCAAGAACATGTAATGACTGTATGTGCATGCATCTAACATGGAACCCGGCCAACTGTGCAAGACAGATCTAAATGTGGAGACAGATCAATACAGTAACAGTTGGAGACATTCAGACCCCACTTTCCACGATGCTAAGATCATCATGGAACAAGCTAAAACAAGTGACACACAGAGACTGGGCCTAACACGGATTCTTAGGACGTTCCATTGCACGTACACATTCTTCCATGCACACAGAGGCTTCTCTAGAATAAATTCCATGATAAGCTACAAATCAAGTGTTGATGACAAACACACACTGCTTTATAACACGTTGTCTCAAAAGTTTGTGTGTATTGTTTGTGTGTATTTTGACGGTTGATGGTTTCCAAATTCATAGAAAAAGGCAGTTTACTAGCTTGGAAGAAAAATCATAATTTGTCTGTTTGACTAGTTGAGATAATATAAAAATTACGTCTATACTCAAGTAGATAGTTGGTTAAGAACAAAAAAGAGAAGTACCAAAGAAAAATCAAGTTAAAAGTTGTATGCAAATTTAGAACTAAGATAGTATAATTAAGGAAGAAACCAATTATATTTTTCCCCTCTTTCCATATAGTTAATGTCCTACCACCACAATTCCCTTCACAACAGAAAGCTTTACCCTTGCTGAGTTCTTTGACTTCCAAAGAAGGAAAGAGAAGATATCGAACGTTAACGGAGTATTCAGCCAAGTGGGATCCGTGGTGAGGGACACTGTAAAAAATGATTCCTCTGGTATTCTTTATCATGGCGCCCAGTTCTGGCTTCTTGGAGGCCTCCAACAGCATCTTCTTGACAAGAAGACCTGGCCAGGGTGAAGAAAGAGACAGTGTAAGTTGTTTCCTCTCTTCTGTCACTCATTGAAAACAGAACAAGCAAAACAGAGATGCTTTAAATTTTACATCATTCCTTTAGTAAAAAAAAAAAAAAGCCTTTAATGACAAGACTGTAGAATTATGACTATGAGTCTATGAACAGTCTGCAGACTGCTCTGTGGTGCAGACCCTCCTCTCAGATCCCACTGCCTGTGTGAGGAAAGTCAAGCCCTGCCTGAGCCAGTGCCCGGCCACTGAAGCTCACACCCAGGAGAGTACTGCAGTGCAAAGTCATAGGTCCTGGACAAGGAAAATCAGCTGCTGGGGAAAGGCACCCATGAGCACCTAACCAGGTAATACAGAGACACAAGAGACCATGACTGGATTTTTGAGAAGCAGAAGGGTTACATGCGCCTTTGTTAGCAAAAAGCCATGGCTGAGGTTCAGCCTAAGTCATGTTTAATCAGACACGCTAGCCTAGGGCTAGACAAAGGCCTTCAGCAAGGCATAAGGAGAAAGCGGAGAGCTGGTTGGGGGGAGGGCAGGAGAAGTGAGGCATGCAGTTGAAGAGCAGGCAGGCCCCCAAGCATGGCAGCCAGGCACAGAAAAACTATGACCACACCTCAGCAGCACAGGCACCTGGAAGCACACATCAACGGAGTTGGCAATGTGGAAGAGACATGGAGGGGAAGAAAGGGAGCCCCTGAAGCCTCCAGGAACGCTGGCTTCACTGAGTCTAACTGATAAACATCCCCCTGTGTGATGCTGGCTAATAATGACCACATGAAACCACCACGTTATCAATCCAAGCCCTCCCACACAGTCTGCTATTAGCTGTCCCCTTCTAGAAAAACAAATAGCATGGAAGGAGAGTAGTAAATCTAATTAACTTGGGGCGGGGAAACTAGTTAACTAAAACAGATGTGGAACTTTCAGTTGGCCACAACCTTGACAACCTCATGATGGTCACTGTATGAAGATGAACCCATCCTTACCTCCCATGCTGTGTGATATCCAAATCATTGGCCTATCCCCAACACCAGCAGCTCTGAGCTTGCTAAGGAGTTCGTTGCTTCTGAATGCAATGGACTTTCTGAACAAAACGAAAACATCAAGCGTTGACGGGAGGCATCCATCCCCCAGATCTTGCTACTTCACTTTTAAGATGAGAATGTTGGCTTGTTCAATGCTATTGGCTCACACTCTGGGGTGCAGGCTAGGCCAGTTTTTTTCTCTATCTGAAACTTCTTAACAATCACACAATTAGGACTATCTCAGCCCACAACAGGCCACTCCTACACTAAGCACACATTATTTGAATATCAAATGGATCTGGCAATTTTTACAGGTTGAACATGGGTCTCATCTCAGCTGCCCTAAGCACTAAATATGGGGGGAATTCCCTTTTCATCCATGGCCCGACAATAAAAATGTCCCAGAGACTTGATTGTCTGAGTTTATTCCTACTGTGTTTATGCTACGGACATTAAGCTTCCACCATTTGGATTTATGCACTGAATACTCGGAAATGATCATCAGAGTTCCAAATGAGTGATTTCAGAATAAAGGGAACTTAACTTCACAGCTTAGCAGCCTGCTGGTTTCACACTCTTCAACTATACCACCTTTTTTTGAGAACCAAGATTCCCCAGTGCTCTGAGAGACACAGGTGGGCTGGGTGCCAATGTGCCCTCTGTTGGCACCCTTCTGGGGCACCCATGTGGGAGCTGCTCATCAAGCAGCATGTTATGTCACCAGCTAGATCAGCTCTGTGTGAGCAAAGCTTCACAGACACTGAATGACAGTGAGCCAGAGGTGGGACTAGGCTATCAGGTCCTAGAACCCAGGAAGGCACCGCTCCTTAGGACGTAAAAGGGACACAGGTCAAAAGTGCTTGGCATCTTTTTCCTCGAGTGTCCCTTAGGCAGGAGAAGCAGCTATCAGTTATACTGCCCACAGACGTGAAGACTTTGACAGAGATCTGTAGTCTTTTACTATTACAGTTACATGAGCCCTGTCAGGAGCTCAACACCATGTTGTATCTAAGCTTTCTACTACTAATTACTTATTGTAAGCTAAGGCCTTCTAGAAGGAAGACAACGCTACAATGGTAGCGGACTCGAGCAGTTACCTAACAGCACAAGACCTGCACTCGATCCCCAGCACTTAAAAGATAAACTCTGCCTGTGATTTACAACTGTAAAAAAAGGCCTCCCACGGCAGAGGACCCCTGTGGCCTGAGCTCTTCCCTCCCTCCTAGTCCAGTGTACCTTTTAACGTTACCTTTCCTTGGGGCACCTTGCTCTCCAGTCACTGAGGCTGGTGTCATACTCCACAGATATAATGCGAAGTGCAGGACAGTCTTTTGCCAGCCATGTCTAGGTAAAACAAAAGGTTCATGAGAAGATGCAGGCATTTCCCCATCCGGTTACTGCACAGTAATTGCTCTTTGTGGCCAAAGGTCTCCAATAGACACTACAGAGGACACTGGAATATGCTGGAGATGGAGGTACTAATAAAAATAAGCACTTCATCTTTTTACATCTCTGGTCATAAAATGCCATCAATATTTATAACAGGCAAATATAGGTATGAGAACATTGTTGATTTTCATCTGCAATTGCCAAAATCAAGACTTGTTTTGGAAGCTTTTAGCAGTTAGTAGAAGTCTATTATCTCAGAACAGACTGTATTTTCTGCTGGACTACACTGAGACCTGAGAATTGGAAACTAATGATAACTGTGTTTGTCTCGGGAACTGGAGGCTGACATCTCCAGACTTTGGCATCAGTGGAGAGAAGAGCATGCTAGTCTTTCTGAAGGGAGTGGGAGGGGAGCAAAGCCCGGGAAACTCTTTACACATAGCATTCTCCTGCATGGACTTGGAATAAATTTCATCCCATGAATTCATCCTGGAGTTGTGGCTCTTTGGAGGAAAAAATATCAAAGAATTGCAAAGGAGAATTACATCATCCAAGTTTTCTACCTTTATAATTATTAAAGTCATAAAATTGGCTAGTACAATTAATTATGGCTGTATTATCTTTTAAATGATGAATCAAAGTGAATGATTACACTCTTATCCTACTTTATCACTCATGGAGTATTATTCTAGAGTCACAGAATATACTCTACACAGAAAGTGTACAATGCAGAAAAGTCACAAGCCCAGCTGATGTTATATCCTGCAGGTGTCTCCAAGGGAAGCAAAGCAGTGAGAGAGAGATCCCTGGGGCACAGCAGTGTCAACTACGGGTGACAGTCCCGGCCGCAGCTCCTTACCTTGGGCCAGCATGTCGTGTACCTGTTCTCATCCACCAAAGCATTTTCTGTCAGAACCCGCTCACTGTCCTTCTGACGCCAGGTTTTAAACGCTGCTCCCATAAGGCCATGAATAAAAAGGACATCGGCTTTAATGGGCTGACTAAGAGGAAAGAGAGTTTTAAAAAGAAGCAGAATAAATGCATTACTACTGCGGCAAGCTACACAGCATTCTCTGTGGAGGGCGTTGACAGGCTGAGGTGACACAAACTTTATCAACACAGGGCTGCTGAGGAATCCTGGGGATGTGACAAGGATAGAGCACATTCATTGCTCCTTCAGTGAAAGGAGACACATTTAGCCAAGCAGTCCAACCACAGCAACTATAACGAACTCCATGATCCATGTGAGTGATGCCACTACGAGGTTACCCTCTAAATAAGTCTATGAAAAGATTCCACAAACCAATTAAGGTATTTAAAAAATTAGGCAAAATATGCTAACATAATGGCAAAGTCACTGTACATGAGAATGTCAGGGGGACCTCCCTAGGACATGCAGTGGCCTCATGGGGAAACCCAAGACAACACACCTCATTCCAGGGTTGGAAGGAAACTTACTGACTCAGCCAGGAAGACACACAAGGGTGGCTCACCCAGTACCTTGACCTCCCTTACATTCTCATAGCAGACAGGACAAACCTGAGGCATGATGGGAAGACTCAACCTCAGAGAGACACGAAAGGGAGCTGCTCCCGTAAGTCTGTAAATCTCATTCAAACTCAAATCCCACCAGCTAGCATAGATGGTTACCGAGTTCAGGGAAGAGGGAAAAAAACTGAAATGGGAAACAGAAATGCAAGCAAAGAGAAAATGCTTATAGAAAAACTATCATTTTGTACTCTAGCTGGCTTAATGTTTAGTAAATAGTCCAAAAAAAATGGGAACCATTTGACATCCCAAAGTTTGTGTGTGTGTGTGTGTGTGTGTACACTAAAAGTCCTAAGCAGAAGTAAAAATCATAAGTGAAATTTAAACACATTAAATTAATGATAAAATTGCTAATTAAGAATAAACTTATGAGAGTTTTGGAAACTACCAATTTTTTTTTTTTTTTTTTTTTTTTTTTTTTTTTTTTTTTTTGGTTTTTTCGAGACAGGGTTTCTCTGTGTAGCTTTGCGCCTTTCCTGGAACTCACTTGGTAGCCCAGGCTGGCCTCGAACTCACAGAGATCCGCCTGGCTCTGCCTCCCGAGTGCTGGGATTAAAGGCGTGCGCCACCACCGCCCGGCTTGGAAACTACCAATTTTTAAAAAGATGTTAAAAATAGTTAAAATTTTGGAAGGCCATTTCAAAAATCACAGATGAGCCCGAAAGAACCTAACTTCTTACCGCTCCTCTGACCTTGCCTTTTCCTCCTGTATTCTTCCTGTATCGCTCTCCTGGTGACCCCCAAGTGGAACAAGAGATTAGAGGAACTAAAAGGCGAACACAGACACTGCCTGGGTAAAAGCTGGACTAAAGACTCTGACATGAGGCTTCAGGGCCCTCTGGGAGTTTCAGGATCACTGATCACTCCACTGACCTACAAAAGGGGCTCTCCCTCTGCTGATAGCTCCTAAGACCAGCAGAGATGTTAACCCGAGCCTGTCTGTGTACAAAGAGTCACCTCTTGACCACTGTGTCCAGGGTCCTCTTACATCTCACAGACAAGGGGACATTTTCTGTGTGGTTTTTACTGGGTGTATTCTGCTTTACTGTAATTGTATTGTGTTCTGTGTTCATAATTACTGTTAATGTAATTTAATTGTTGTGCATGATTTTTATCTGTTGGTTCCTGTCTTAGGGGTTTCCATTGCTTCAATGAAATACTATGACCAAAAAGCAAGCTGGGGCCGGGCGGTGGTGGCGCACGCCTTTAATCCCAGCACTCGGGAGGCAGAGCCAGGCGGATCTCTGTGAGTTCGAGGCCAGCCTGGTCTCCAAAGCGAGTTCCAGGAAAGGCGCAAAGCTACACAGAGAAACCCTGTCTCGAAAAACCAAAAAAAAAAAAAAAAAAAAAAAAAGCAAGCTGGGGAGGAAAGGGTTTATTTGGCTTACACTTCCAGATCATAGTCCAACATTGGAGGAAGTCAGGACAGGAACTCAAGCAGGGCTGGAACCTGGAGGTAGGAACTGATGCAGAGGCCATGGAGGGGTGCTTGCTCAGCCTGCTTTCTTAAAGAACCCAGAACCACCGGCCCAGGGATGGCCCCACCCACAATGGGCTGGGCCTTCCCCCATCAATCACTAATTAAGAAAATGGCCTATAGCCAGATCTATTGAGGCATTTCCTCAACTGAGGCTCCCTCCTCCTCTCTCATGACTCTAGCTGGTCAAGTTGACACACAAAACCAGCCAATACAGTTCCTTTTCTTCTTTGAGACTACAACAGGAGGTCTTTGTCTCTTGGTCTAACTGTCCAGGTTATGGGGATCTGCACTGGTATCCTACTCTCTCTGAATCCAGAAAAGCTGCTAGCCCAAGCTCATCCTCCCTACAGGACAGACATGTAAGAATTAGTTATTACACTGGAATGAAACTAGAAAAATACAAAAGATACACTTTAAACCCAGGTAACAGCGAGGTCTACTTAAGAAAATGGCATGAATAAGAGATTTTAGAGTTTAACCAAAGGGGTGATTCTAATTCAATTCATTTTGTTAAAAATTTAGATTCTCCCCTCTTTTTAAACTGGTATATATGCTTTATAAGTTTTAACATAAAGGTTATTTCATCTTGATTTATCAATGTACATTTCTGTGTGCCATTGAGATACATTACATGGTATGTATACATGATGCTCCCCCCAAAAGCATTCAGTTCAAATTAGCTCATAAGTGATCACCCAAAATTAGTTCAAATTCCTTTTAGTTCATCATACAATGGGAATTTTAGGACAAAAGTTTGAGCTCCAGCAGCACCAGAAAGCCAGGTGCAGCCACTGCTCCTAGTGTGCCTGTGAAAGTTCCATCTCTGTGGCATTGGGAAGGACTAATAGAGGAGTCCAGCACCCCAAAGCCCGTCAGTGGGGCACGGACATGAGCTTTAAAGTTCAAGAAAAACTGGGACAAAGAAACAAGTAGTCAACAAAACGAAACCATCTTGGCCAAGGCCAAGTGATCAACCACCTTGATCACTGTCTGGGTTCTACTTGGCAGGCCAGTCTAAGTCCTGCTGCTTGAGGAGACACCAGTTCTCAGGAGGACGTTACAGCCCCACCCTCGAGGATGGCCATCCTCATCTGGGTGGCCCCACAGGATTCTGCTGTCCTCAGGGTGCAAAGTGACTGGAAGTTTAGGACAGTAAAACAAACACGCACGCACGCACACATACACACACGCCTTCAGCTCTGATCATTTGGGTAGACTCTCCATGAGTATTAAGAAGCCTAGGAGACTCAGGCAGGAGTGTGGCCCACAGTATAGGCAGAGACAGCGGACTTTATCCTCCTGGTTGCTTTGTGGATCTAAACAGAAGGTTGATGTTTTTTTAGCAAAGGCAGTACCTCTGATATTAGGACTTCAGTTGCTCACTAATTAACTAATATACATACGTCAAGATAATATTTTTCTAACTTTAAAAGTTTTTTTAAAGAAAATAAAGGAACCATCATGTCTGAGAAATAAGTATAAAATGTTAAAATAGTTTTTGGTTAAAATAAGGCTGAGGGGCTGGAGAGATGGCTCAGAGGTTAAGAGCACTGACTGCTCTTCCAGAGGTCCTGAGTTCAATTCCCAGCAACCACATGGTGGCTCACTACCATCTGTAATGAGATCTGGTGCCCTCTTCTGGCCTGCAGACATACATGCTGTATACATAATAAATAAATAAATCTTTAAAAAAAAATAAGGCTGAAACCGAAGGAGATTCTTTGATATAAGAATCTGTATGCTAAAATAAGATTCTGTCCTAGAGTTTATCCAAAAAGGAAAGTCACAGGTCTGGTAAATGATGGGGAGACCCAAGGTGTGCGCAGGGAACGGTTTAAGAGCAGAGGTGTGAGGGAAAAACGGTTCAAGAGCGGTGGTGTGTGGCCACGCTTCTATGGCTAAAGGCTGGGAACATCCTGACGGATACAGAACTAAACCCGACTTTTCCCACATACAGGAAAAGAGAGAAAGGCACCTACAGCACAGCTTCTGTGTTGCTCCTCAACCCAGCGGTCGGCCTTTAGACTGCCCTGTTCCCTTTGCTGGGTTCTTTCCTCTCACTTATCAAAACACTAAACAGGAACCAAACTCCCCGCTTCCACCACTAGGGGGCTCATCTTTGGCTTTCCTTTTTCTGTCTCTTGTGGATACTTTTAAAAACAAATGCGTTTGTTTGTTTGTTTTTTACAGAAATAATGTTTTTGAAGTGTGAGGAAAAACCCTAATGAATTGATTTTATTCAAATGCCTCCAGAAAGATGCTAATGTTTCCACTAACCAAAAGCTAAAATGTCACCAGGTAATGGGTGAACCTCTTCTGGAGTTTTCCCTGCTTTTCCCTCCCCCACCCATCTGATGCTCCCACCAGAATATTTGGTAAATGTACTTACTCATGACTTCCTTCTTGTTTCGTGACTATAAGAAGTTGACTTTGGAACATGTTATCCCAGGCAACCTGGAGCCTGAGCCATGGTCATTTAACTCCTATTAAACTTACTTTTTGGAGGGGGAGCTGGGATTGCATTGGTCACCATAACATTTTATTTGACAGTCAGAATGAACCAATAAATCCATTTTTCTTTTTGCAGAGGATTTTTTTTATAGGGGTAACCTGCAAGGGGACCCCAGATCCTGTGACAACTAGACAGCTTGAGTCTGGGATCTTGTCAGGGTCTCCCATGGTGTGGGTGATTGCTCATCCTGGCTCCTCCAGCATAAAGCCCTGGCCCTGCTCCTCCTGGGACCCTGCTCACTTCTCATCCTGCCTCACTCCCATATCAAGAGTGGAATGCAGCTCCCCTAGAAGGAGGTGTCGTGAGGCAGGCCCCCAAACTGACGGGCATGGGAGCAGGGTTCTGACAGCTGTGGGGCAGAGGGAGGGGCCCTGCCACTGTCCCCTGCCACTGTCCCCTGCCACTCCCCTTTTAGGCAGCACCTCCTGCAGTCAGACTGAAGGAGCTGTGCAGATGGAGGAACCGACTGCTATTTTTAATTTCCTGGGGGGAGAGACCTGGAGTTCGGTTCAAACAAATATTGTACATTCCCAGGTTGACTTAAGAAATGCCAGGGGTGAAGGAGGCAGGTGGGCAGGGAGGCCCTCAGGGGGTCCGTCCCTGGGGCTCTCCATTCCTCCTCATCTAGTTCGGGAAAGGGTCTGGCTGCAATCAAGGGTGGTTACTTGTGTGCTCCTTCCTTCCACAGCTCTTCCCTGGTCCTGGGCGCACAGCTAGGCGGGAAACGGAGAACAGAAGAGGGATGGCTAGCTGCAGAGATGGGCGCTACCATTTCTTTCTTGGATCTCTCTTTTGAAGGTCTTTCTCCTCTTTCAGTTGCAAATAAAATCACTTTCCAGTTTTAAAAAATGATCATTTAGATCCATGTGATGCTCACCTTGTCCGACACTGGGGATGCAGCACATACACTCCGTCCTGGTATTTCTCACGCACAGTTTCTCGGTCTAGATTAGCCAGGGTTCTGGCAGCATGGGAAGCCTCCATAATGTGGTAGGATTTCAGAGCTTCTGCCATTATAGAAACCCAACCTGAGGAAAAGGACAGATGTCCTAAGCACTGATGCAAACCATCTCAGACTGTAGAGAGATGCTTCAGATTGGAAAAGGAGAGAGGAAGGCCAGCCTCAAGTGTCTGTCCTGGGTGAGGAAGCCCAAACACTCCAGCTCGACTGAGTCCTAAGAAGCTGGGATATTCCCCACCAGACCCACTGAGGGAGCTCTAAGGAGGAAAGTGAAACACATGGCCATTACTACAGGTGAGTTCAAAAGAGGAATGAATGCCATGATGATTTTTATAAAAATCAGTGAGTTGTTATGAAGATCAGAAATCATACCAACAAACTTGACTAATAAGGAAACTATTTCTTAATGAATTTGATAAAATCCTTATCAAGCCTAGAGTTCAGAAAGAAAAAATACTATTGTTTATTTTATTTCCAAAATTTATTTTAAAAAGAAATGAACAGATGCTGGGTGGTGGTGGCGTACACCTTTAATCCCAGCACTCAGGAGGCAGAGCCAGGTGGATCTCTGTGAGTTCGAGGCCAGCCTGGTCTACAAAGCGAGATCCAGGACAGGCACCAAAACTACATGGAGAAACCCTGGCTGGGGGGGGAGGGGGGGAGAAACGAACAAGATAAGTATGGATAACAGTATGATTTCATACATATGTACAAAAAGTGCATGCATGCACACACAGACAGACACAAGAACACAAGGTCTGGAAAGATACAGGCACCAAACTCATCAATGGTCATTACCTCTCAGGAGGCAGGTGAGTGGAAGAGGGCTCTGAAAAAAAGGCAGGTTGAACTGTTTTCTCAAGTATGTACAAGTACCTACTTGTATATCACACACACACACACACACACACACACACACACACACACATACACACACACACACACACACACACACACACACGACTTAGAGCAGAATATAGGCCTTGAGGTCCAAGAGACTTGGGGTCAAATTTCTGTGCTGTGGAACCTCAGTGAGTTACTTCACAGCTCTGATGAGCTCCAAGCCCAGCTCCACCAATCAGCGTCTGACTTGCATGTGTCCCTCCCACCTCACAGCTGGACTACCCCACGGAGCAGGCGCACACCTACCCTCGGAATACAGCCCAAACTTCAGTTAATGAGCAGAATTAGTGACTGCTGCCATAACACAGGGTTCAGGGTAGTCTGAGAGCAACAGCAACTTTGGTTTTCGTCTGTGAATTGTTCATTTCTTCTCTCAACTATATATATATATATATATATATATATATATATATATATATATATATATATATATATATATATAGTCTTGTTTGGTCATGAGCTTTAGCCTATAATGGCTAAGCCATCTCCCCAGCCCCATCACATACTTTATTTTACTTTACAAATAAAAAGTGTGTGTGTGTAATGGTATGCAACATGTTTTGTGCTTTGTGTGCATGCATGTGTGTGTGGAGTCAGTTCTCTCCTTCAACCACGTGGGTTCTGGGGACAGAACTCACATTATCAGGCTAGGCAGCAAGTATCCTGACCTACTGACTAAGCTCGCCAGCCCCTATACTGTTCTAAAACGTGTTCAGTGTACGTTACTGCACATGCCATCTTTTGGTAGTGAGAACACTCGGGATCTCATTCTGGCAGTTCTTTGTTATCAATGGAACTGCCCCCCAGTCTCACGGGTGCTGACATGTCTGCAGCAAGAGCAGCAGGGAAACATGCTAACAGCTGTGCGTGGGCAGGTCTGCCCCAAGGCCCAGGTTGTTCACACACACACACAACTAAACAGCTCATTACAGCTCAGACAGCAAACAAGCGGGGCTCAATCAGCGATAAACATTTCTACCTTAAAGAGCTATTTAAAAAAGTGGTGCTGCATGGCTGTGAGTCCAGCACTCTGTGAGGGAAGGCAGGACTTTCAGGAGTTCAGGGCCAGCCTCAGCTAGAGTGAGTTCAAGGCCAGCCTGCGGGTGGGGAAGGAGAAGGAGGGAATGAACGAACACTCACAGTATAGAGGAAGAAGGAAAAATAAAGAGTAGTTTTGGTATTTTCCAAGAGTTGTAAAAACTCACAGGTGGACAGAGGTTATATTTAGTTCTAAAAGGTGAATATTTTGGCCATTTCATGCTTCTCAGAAAGTTTTCTGATTTCTGGATTTGAATTCATTAAAATTAAAATCTGCTGATCTGGGGTTGAAGAGCCAGATCAGTGGTGAAGAGCACTGCTCTTCCAGAGGACCCAGGTTTAATCCCCAGCACCCACAAGGCAGCTCACAACTGTCTGTGATTCCAGTCCCAGTGGATCCAACACCGTCTCCTGGTTTCCATAGCAGCAGGCGTGCATGTGGTGCACAGACTTACATACAGCCTAAATAGTCATGCACACCTTTAGTCTCAGGCAGGATTACAGAGTGAGACCCCAACTTAGAACAATAAAAACAACATCTGCTGATCTAAAGACCACCTAAGGGTTAATTCATAGTTTCTGTGTACAAGCATGAATATACAAAGGTATATGTGCATGTATCTGTATACTCCCATTTATGTATGAATATAGGTCTATGTGTATATGTGTCTTAGTTAGGGTTCCTATTGCTGCAACGAAACACCATGACCAAAAAGCAAGTCGGGGAAGAAAGGGTTTATTTGGTTTACCCTTCCAGATCAAGTCAGGACAGGACTCAAGCAGGGCTGGAGCCCTGGAGGTAGGAGCTGATGCAGAGGCCATGGAGGAGTGCTGCTTACTGGCTTGCTCAGCCCACCTTCTTATAGAACCCAGGACCACCAGCCCTGGGATGGTACTTTCCAAAATGGGCTGGGCCCTGCCCGCTTGATCACTAATTGAGAAAATGCCTTACAGGTGGATCTCATGGAGGCATTTCCTCAACTGAGGCTTCTTCCTCTCTCGTGACTCTTGTGTCAAGTTGACACACAAAACCAGCCAGCACAATGTGTGTGTGTGTGTGTGTGTGTGTGCGCGTACACATATGTGTGTATGTATCTGTCACAGTGGTTTGAATGAGAATGTCTCCCATCCCTCTGGAACCACAAGTCAAATACACTTTCTTCCTTATGGTGCCTTGGTCAAGACGTTTTATGGCAGCAACAGAAAAGTAACTAAGACAGAAGTGTACAGACAGACAGACACACACATACATCATATGTATAATATGTGTGTATCAGTTCTCTGGGCCCCCACTAGCCAAAGAGGAGACAATTTAGCATCAGTTTATTAAGTACAGTAATAAATTATAAACCTTAAAAACTTTGTAAAGAGTAATCTGTGTGCTCACATTGCTAGGAGAGAGGGAGGAGGAAAGAGGGGAGAAGGTAAGAAGGCAGATGTGTGTCTCCTCCCAGGGGGCTCGTAGGCTGCAGAGGAAATGAATTAGTTCTACAACGAGTCTCTTTTCTGTCTGCCTCTTGGTTAACGAAATCACATCAATAATTCAACAATCTTCATGTCAAAGCCTGCTCACCTATGATGGTTCTACATGCTGACTCCTCAGCGTGGAACAGACAACCCTAGCAAGTCCTTGTCACTATCCAAACAACGTACTATTTGGACCCAAGAGAACCCTGAGAGCTTTCAGTCTATTGAAAAACTGATGTAACACGAGGTGAGGCAGTGCCAGGGTCCTCAGTGCGCACACAGCTCTTACCTGAGCGGACTATAGCAGGGTGGAGGTGCTCGTTCAAGGCCATGTTTCCAATGATCCTCATGATGTTTCTCTGTATTTTGGGGGAGTCCTTATGGAGCTGGTAGAGCCTCTGCAGGAGCTGCAAGCCCCCGCCTGCTTCGATGTGGTCACAGTGGGAAGGTATCTAGCACAAATTAACAGAGCTCTGTTCACTTCACACCTCCAGGAAGAGTCCCCACAGCCCTCCTGTGCTACAGTCCCTTATTCCTGCTTCACACCTCCAGGGAGAGTCCCCACAGCCCTCCTGTGCTACAGTCCCTTATTCCTGCTTCACACCTCCAGGGAGAGTCCCCACAGCCCTCCTGTGCTACAGTCCTTTATTCCTGTTTCACACTTCCAGGGAGAGTCCCCACAGCCCTCCTGTGCTACAGTCCTTTATTCCTGTTTCACACTTCCAGGGAGAGTCCCCACAGCCCTCCTGTGCTACAGTCCTTATTCCTGCTTCACACCTCCAGGGAGGGTTCCCACAGTCCCTCTTGTTTCTGCCTCAGCCCCATTCCACAGGTGGGAATCAACGATGACTAAATACAGCCGCGCACTTCAGTCAGGGCTGGCCTTCTTGGGTTAAAGTGGCGAGCTCAGAACCTTGAGGACAGCTGTGGGTGAGGATGCCGGTGGCAAATGCCAATCCCTGCACTCCACACCAGATCTGCTTAGTTTAAACATCACAGGCAATGTAATGGACACTGTGCCTAACATGTTTCCCAGGTGATGCTTATACCTCATCTGTGGGTACCACTAGGCATTTTGGCCCCCCCTCTTTTTTTTTAATCAAACTATAGCTGGGCATGGTGGCACACAGCTGCAGAGGGATACACAGCAAGAGCCTGTCTAATCAGTAAGCAAACTGTGGCGGCCACGATGCCAAAGTGCCTAGACATTAACAGTACTCATAACTTAGCTGCACAGCCGCCTGCCTCTGCCTCCAAGGTGCTGGAAATAAAGGCCTGCGCCACCACCGCCCGGCTAAAAGTGGAATTTTAAAAATATAATATTTTTACTAATTCTTTTAAGAATTTCATAGCCACATACAGTGCATTTTGATCATATTTACTGCTTACTCCTCCCTAACGCGTCCAAGGTCCCCCTCTCCACTTCTCCCCACTCCCAAATATGTGTCCAAGCAACTATGAAAAGCCTTATTTTGGAATGCCAGTTACCTCAGAATGCTTTACTATAGCTTCTAGGCAGAACATTTCCACTGTGGCGGTGGGAACTTCTCCAAAACTTTCTGCGTAAGGAAGTCCATTTCCTCCAAAACACCAGAGTCCCCCCTGAAGTTAAGACAAAGTATTTACAGATTCAGCTTCCTGTTAACATATGTATACCATATTCAAATTAGGGATTTCAATATGCAAATTGTGATATATTCAAATTAAGAATGTCAAATATGTAGTCTGGGAGGCGGCGGTGGCGCACGCCTTTAATCCCAGCACTTCAGAGGCAGAGGCAGGTGGATCTCTGTGAGTTCGAGGCCAGCCTGATCTACAGAGCTAGATCCAGGACAGGCACCAAAACTACACAGAGAAACCCTGTCTCGAAAACAACAACAACAAAAAAAGAATGTCAAATATGTAAATGCCTCAAGATACTTTGAAAATGTAAAGGGAATGTTATGCAAACTTCTATTGCCTATTAAATAGAAAAGACATCAGGTGATTCCCAGAACAATTTTGACATCTTTTCCCATCTTTACTTCCGCCCTGTCCTGGCAGTCAATTCTTTACCCACTGGTCATTCTGGTGTCATCTGCTTCAGCACTGACTAATTCATACAGGCTATGGTAGTGGAGTCAACTGAAAACCTAATACTAAAAAAAGTCTTTAATGGAAAAGCATACTAAACAAAAATATTAAAAACAGGATGGCTCTGAATTCTTCCCAGTTGAAAGTGAAGCTCGCGTGGGAGAGGACGTGCAGTCAGGGGCTGTGGAGATGGCTCGGTGGGTAAAAGACTTGTTACACTGAAGGGCCCCAGCATACTTGCTTAGCCTAACGCCATTTTTGAGCAAGGCCTGAAAAGTAACTAAAGGTCAGAAAAACAACTTGTACCCTGGATAAGAGCCAAGTCAGCAGGCGTGTCGAGCTCGGGGAAAAACCACAAGCTGTCCTGAGTTTGAGCCTGGCCTCATACGAATCGTCCAATCAGAACCCTGTAAACTATGCTTCCTGCTTCTGTACCCGCCCTTCCGCTGCCCAACCCTATAAAAACCCTCCACTCCAGCCCGTCGGCGCGCCAGTCTCTTCAGCCTCTGGAGGGACTGTATCGCCCCGGGTACCCGTGTTCCTGAATAAAGCCTCTTGCTGTTTGCATCTGACTTGTGGTCTCGGTGTGATCTCTGGGCGAGGGTCTCTCCAGAGGGAAGACTACCTACGGGGGTCTTTCATTTGGGGGCTCGTCCGGGATCGGAGACCCCCGCCTCGGGACCACCGACCCACTGTCAGGAGGTAAGCTGGCCGGCCACTGTCTGTCTGTATTGTCTCAGTCTGTTTACTTGTCTTTCGTTTTCGTCGGACGTCCTAAGTCAGGTCTGAGTCGGTGGGGGCTGAAGGAGCTGACGAGCTCGGACTTCGCCCACCGAAACCCTGGAAGACGTTCCACGGGTATCTAAAGTCCCCTCTGGGGCACGGAAAGTCCCCTCTGGGGCACGGGAAGTCCCCTCTGGGGCACGGGAAGTCCCCTCTGGGGCACGGAAAGTCCCCTCTGGGGCACGGAAAGTCCCCTCTGGGGCATGGTTTTTCGGGGCCACCCACGCATCAGAAGGATATGTGGTACTGGCAGGGGACGGAGAATTCAAACACTCCGCGTCCCCATCTGAGTTTTTGCTTTCGGTTTTACGCCGGAGCCGCGCAGCGAAAAATTCTGTGGTCTGTCTTGTCTGTTTGTTTCTCGTTGTGTGTTTAACCCTTCTTTATTTGGAGACCACCATGGGACAGGCTGTCGCCACCCCATTGAGCCTAACCAAGGACCACTGGTCCGATGTTAAGGCCCGAGGAAACAATGAAGGTGTCATTGTCAGGAAGAAGAAATGGATCACCTTCTGCGAGGCCGAATGGGTCATGATGAATGTCGGCTGGCCGCGAGAGGGATCTTTTAACCTCTCTCTTATTTCGCAGGTGGAGGGTAAGGTTTTTGCCCCTAGCCCTTATGGGCATCCCGACCAGGTCCCATATATCGCCATCTGGAGATCACTGGTCGAGAACCCATTTCCATGGGTTAAGCCTTTCCTTCCGCAGCCCCCTCCAGTCTCTGGGCCTTCTGCGCCCCCCAACCCGGACTCCTCCCTTTACCCCGTGCTCCCTCACAAGGAGACTCCTAAGCCTCCAGTCCTTCCCCCAGACCCCAATACTCCCCTTATAGATCTCCTGACGGAGGACCCACCACCATATCGAGCCGGACCACCTGGAGAGCCGGCCGAAGCGGCCCCAGCCGCCGCCCCGGTGGCGGCGTCCCCGGCCGTGCCCGTGGCAGATCCGGAAGTCACCTCGACTCGCAGGACCCACGGGGCTGAAGAAGAGGACGCAGCCCCGTCCCCCATTGCCGGCCGCCTCCGCGGCCGCCGGGATGGCCCCCCTAATGAGTCCAGGGCCTTCCCGCTCAGAGAGGGGCCGAATCGTCAGTTGCAGTACTGGCCCTTTTCAGCCTCAGACCTCTATAATTGGAAACAACATAATCCCCCTTTCTCCAGGGATCCTGTTGCCTTGACCGGCCTAATTGAGTCCATCCTAGTGACTCACAGGCCGACTTGAGACGACTGTCAGCAGCTCCTGCAGACCCTCTTAACAGTAGAGGAGAAGCAGAGAGTTTTCCTGGAGGCCCGGAAGCAGGTTCCGGGCGATGATGGGAGGCCAACCCAACTCCCAAATATCATCGATGCAGCTTTTCCCTTGACCCGCCCAGACTGGGACTTCAATACACCTGAAGGTAGGGAGCATCTATGTCTCTATCGCCAGTTGCTCTTAGCGGGTCTCCGAGCGGCCGCCAGAAGGCCTACCAATTTGGCTCAGGTAAGGAATGTGATACAGGGAAAGGAAGAAACACCCGCTGCATTTTTAGAGAGGCTGAAGGAGGCTTATAGGATATACACTCCGTATGATCCAGAAGACCCAGGGCAAGCACCAGGTGTCATCCTATCATTTATCTATCAGTCTAGCTCAGATATCAGAACCAAATTGCAGCGGCTGGAAGGTTTACAGGCGCTAGGTTTGCCAGACTTATTGAAGGAAGCAGAGAAAGTGTTCAATAAGAGAGAAACTCCTGAGGAACGTGAGGAAAGGAGATGGCAGAAACAAGAGGAAAGGGACAAGAAACAGCATAGGGAGATGAAAAAGGTTTTGGCCGCCGTTGTGTCTCAGGGACAGCAGAGAGAGGGAGATAGGTCGGGAGAGCGAAGGAGGCCACCCCTTGATAAAGATCAATGTGCTTACTGCAAGGAGAAGGGACACTGGGCCCGAGAGTGCCCCAAGAAGCCACAAGGACCCCGCCGGCCCAAGCCCAAGACTGTAGACCTCCTTAGTCTGGAAGAGGGGAGTCGAGGCCAGGAGCCCCCCCCCTGAGCCTAGGATAACCCTCAAGATCGGGGGGGCAGCCCGTGACCTTCCTGGTTGATACTGGTGCCGAACATTCAGTCCTAACCCATGCCGGAGTGCCTCTTAGCCGGCATTCTGCACTGGTGCAGGGGGCAACTGGAAACAAGAGGTATTATTGGACTGCCGAGAGAAAAGTCCAACTGGCATCAGGGCAAGTAACTCACTCCTTTCTGCACATACCTGAATGCCCCCATCCGCTGTTAGGACGGGACCTATTAACCAAATTGAAGGCACAAATCTATTTTGAAGAATACCGTTTGTTTGAACCAGAACCCCCGGAGAAATCACCTGAGGAGCTACAGAACTGGCTGAGAGAGTTTCCTCAGGCCTGGGCAGAGACTGGGGGCTTGGGGCTGGCACACGATCAGCCACCGCTGGTGATCTCACTAAAGGCCTCCGCGACTCCCGTTTCAATTAGACAATACCCAATGTCACGGGAAGCTCATGAGGGGATCAAGCCCCATATTCGAAGGCTCCTGGACCAAGGGGTGCTAAAGCCCTGCCAGTCCCCTTGGAACACCCCTCTCTTGCCTGTTAAGAAACCGGGGACAGGGGACTACAGGCCGGTCCAGGACTTGAGAGAGGTCAATAAGCGGGTGGAGGACATACACCCCACGGTGCCCAACCCCTATAACCTTCTGAGCACCCTCCCACCGACCCACGTCTGGTACACTGTGCTAGACCTGAAGGATGCCTTCTTTTGTTTGAGACTGCACCCTCAAAGTCAAATGCTATTCGCTTTTGAATGGAGAGACCCAGAAAAAGGGCTTTCGGGACAGTTAACCTGGACCCGGCTCCCTCAGGGCTTCAAAAATAGCCCAACCCTCTTTGATGAGGCCCTACATGCAGATCTGGCCGGATTCCGGGTCGAACACCCAACCCTGACTCTGCTCCAGTACGTGGATGATCTACTCCTGGCGGCCAGGAGTCGAACCGAGTGCCTGGAGGGCACTCGAGCCTTATTGGCCAGACTTGGACAAAAGGGCTATAGAGCCTCAGCCAGAAAGGCTCAAGTATGCCGAGACAAGGTTACCTACCTGGGCTACACCCTGAGCGGAGGGCAAAGATGGTTGACAAGAGCGAGGAAGGAGACGATAATCTCCATCCCCCCTCCTCGGAACCCCCGCCAAGTTCGAGAGCTCCTGGGTACGGCTGGGTACTGCCGCCTTTGGATCCTGGCTTTGCCGAACTGGCAGCCCCATTGTACCCCCTCACTAAACCAGGGGCCATGTTCCAATGGGAGGAGAAGCATCAGAAAGCGTTCCAACAGATCAAGAAGGCCTTACTCGAGGCCCCGGCTCTGGGTTTGCCAGATCTAACCAAGCCCTTTGAGCTGTTTGTGGATGAGAACTCAGGTTTTGCCAAAGGGGTACTGGTGCAAAGACTGGGACCTTGGAGGAGACCTGTAGCGTACTTGTCCAAGAAATTGGACCCGGTGGCTACAGGATGGCCATCATGCCTCCGCATGGTGGCAGCCATTGCCGTATTACTCAAGGATGCCGGGAAGCTGACTCTGGGACAGCCGTTGACTGTGCTGGCCTCCCATGCAGTGGAGGCCTTGGTCCGACAACCACCGGACAGATGGCTTTCTAACGCCAGAATGACTTACTACGTGGCAACAAAGAAACTGTTGGAAGAAATCTTCCCCAGGTATGGGATGCCTCAAATATTGGGGTCGGATAACG